TAATATTGATAGCTCGGTCGGATGTCGAAACGTGAGGATTGAAACAATCTACGAATATATTAACAACAAGGTACATTTAAAGCACACGAGTAAGGTATTTAAACTCTTAAAGAGCACATGGATTATTTACCACGAGGTATTTTACCATTTTAAGTGCACATGAAAGGTATTTAAACATGTAAAGTGCACATGAAAGGTAGTTAAACATTTAATGTGCACATAAAAGGTAATTAAACATTTTAAATGCACATAAAAGGTATTAAAACATTTAAAGTGCACATGAAAGGTATTTAAACATTTAAAGAGCTCATGGAACATAGTGATACGACACACCGACTGACTAGAAAATTAGCCATAACTTTAAAACGGGTAAGGATAACAATGCAATCTATTGAATTGTTATCCATGATATTGACTTAATACACGACTTTAAAATAAATTTGACATACTTGTAGTTAAATACAAGCTTTAGATGTTGAAGTAATGTGTTCATAAAACAAATGAAGACACGAATACTACTAGTATTTATACTACTAGAATAAAGGTTCTTTGACACAAACAACTTGATCTACTCCTTCAGCCATTCAATTAAAAGTTGTCTCTTTATACCTTTCTTTGTAGTATTTAAAAGTGACAAAATATATAGTTTTAGCATACGATGTGTTACAAAGACAAGTTGTAAGTAAGTACAAGCTTCTTTAAAATATGTTTTCATAATTTCGTCAGACATTTTGTTTGCAATTCGTCGTTCAAATAAAGAGTGTAGTACATTTTGATAGTATTAAGCTATTATGAATAATTGCTATAGTCCCTAAATAATGTTTGGTACAGTTTTGAAAATATACTTTGTCTTGATTTCATATACAAATAAATATCTTCAGTATATTATTGTTCAGTGTGTTTGACCAAATTGATTAAGTATGGAATCAAAGTTTTACAGTACTGATGATTTACTGAAACCTTACGTTGATAATACATTGATATGCGCAGTTTTCTTCACTAAAAATAGTGCTTGAAATGAACAACGTTATATTATAAAAATAATTTTAATTACTTCAAATTAATCTTTTAACGATTATGAAAATGAAATATTTAATTTATTTAGAACGTACCGCATTTTCTCGTAGTAAAATTGTTTTGATTGATATATTCTACGGAAAAAACTATAATTGTAAACTAATAATTGTTATGTCAAATCTAATAAATTTATTTAAATTTAATGTTAGATCTTTAGGGTGTGTAAACGGGTTTTTTTAAGATGAGGTTCGAGATTTCGAAGAGTGTAATTTCAATTCGTTATAGTTCAATAAAAAAAATGGAATTGCGGACGTTTGGAAAATACAGGCCTAGGAAAATGGACATAAAAATCAAAGTTTCAGTCATAATGGTTTTTTAGGTTTTCAAACTTTAAGTATGGTCGATACTTGTTAAGGCTGAAGGTTAAAAAATCTGAAATTTGAGCAGTATGGCAATTTTAAACTAAAATGAAGTTGAAGAACCATTTCATAAGTTCTCAAATTCTTTTTTCTTAAGATTTTAAAATGTCGAGACTTGAGTCATAATATTCATTTTTCGTCACACATATTAAGGTGTATAGCCTAACACAGATTATGAAGTGTTGAAAAATATTAATCAAAGTTTTAAGTTCGAGTTTTTAAGTTAATGTTGAGGTATTGACGTATGAGGTAAGGAATGGACTTGGTAATGGGCTGCCAAGTTAATTACCAAAGCTCTCATGGTAACAAACTGGTAACTAGTAACTGAATTGGTAAAACGCTACACTACAGAACAACTTTAGTACAGCTACAGCATTACGCAATCAGACCACTATTGATCTGCATTCATATCTAAACCGACCGGCCTGCAATTCCTCCGGTAATCTCAAATAGCACATGTTCCCAAGTCATTACAATAGAAATCAGTTTTTAAAAACGCAATATTAGTGAAACGTTGAATTTTGATGATAATAAACCCCCGATTATACGTTCGTGTGGGACACGCTGGTTGGAAATCAATTTTAATAAATGTATTTCAGCATAAAACACAGATATTAAAAAAATATAATGTAACCTAGTCGACTAAAACTCCCGAGGTTGTTTTAATAGATGTTTTCGTGAGGTGAAAAATTATAATAACTAGAGTAGTTGTTAACAAATATAATATACTTGAGGGGGTGTGCAAATTGCGCGCTTTAATAGGGTTTAAAACTCGTTTCCGAGGCAAAACGGATAATGCAATCACTTTTACCTTTCAAATATTACTTCTTAACTGGTTAAGATGTTGCATTTAATAAAAACAATCATAAAAATAGGATGTTTGTTAAAGATATTAGCAGTTATTAGATGAATATCACCACTAGTTTGCACTATTTATATGTCTATTGTATATTCATACCACTAAGAGTAATTTTCCTATCTCAATAAGGTTATCAATAAGAGTAGCCTATAGAAAGTTAATTTCCATAGAGATATTCCTCTCTTGTTTACAATCTGACTCTGGTAAAAAATAAATAAAATTAACAATTACATTTAAAACCACCATGAAGAAAGTAGGTCAGTAGCACCACTTGGACCTTTGAAGCGCCCTCTGGAAATAAATTAAAGGCTAGGAGGCGAAGCCTAAGTAAATGACCCTTTTTACTTAACATATTCTAACATTTGTGCTAGATAATAAGCTTTAATAAAACACCCCAGTCGTAAGCATTCGGTTAAGTAGGTAATCTGAAAAAATAATCTTACAGAGAATACCATGGTTTTATTAGGTATGAATGTAATGTAAACATGTATTCGCATAACACTCTCGTAAAACATTTAATAATAATTTTAATAAATAATAATAATAAAAATAAACTCTTATTAATAATCTTGATCTCGAATTCCACAAGTTGGCTGTAATTCAATTGTAATATGAAAAAATAATAGTTAATAGTTCACTATATATATATATGGCTACTGTAAATTATATCCAAAGAAAAACCCGGATATCATTTTCTTTTAAATTTGTGCACTGCCTGAGCAAAAATATTGAAATGAGATCAAAATTTCAATTTGATTGTAAATTTTTTAAGAACACATGAAATGCAGTTTTTCCGACCAAGTCTTAAGTTTATAATATGAATTTATTAACAAATGTTTTCAAATTTTGCTCAGTTTGTTTATTCATACATAATTTGAATGTCGTAAATATTTTACCTTAGCTAGTCAGCTAAACTTTACAAAAATTGTGTCGCTCTACCTGTGATTTTCAAAAGTTACAGCTAAAACTTAACAAGGATCTGAAGGAAAACTAAATCAAATATAGTGTCATCTTATGTCTCTAAAGTTTTGTGTCCCCGTATTTTCTAAATGTCGCTCCATATATAATGAGCTTCTGCAGTTCGTAAGGAATATAGGCAATAGTACTGTAAATATAGATTGTCAAAAATCTTCTGGAAATTCGCTTAGTCTGCAGGTTTGCTGCTGCGAGGGTATTTGTATTATTTTCTGCGTAAGAGTTTTGTTTTTAATCCTCTTCTATAGTAATTACATTCTTTTACGCGTAAAATGTACAGTAATGACATATTTATTTATATGCATATTAAAAAAAAGATATAAGCTTCTTATAGCTACAATATTTCTTTAAGCTACGTGAAACGAATCATAAATCCAAATGAAAATGTCCAGCTTTGATTGATATATTTACTGATATGCATTCTCCTATTCCTTTCGTTTTCCTTTCCATTCGATTCGATAACATCCTGGGAATTCTTAAAAAGTAATATATTCATATTAATTCCAATAGTCATCTTGACGTTTATTAAAAGTTATCTGACAGATTCGTGGATACAATCTTGAAGTAATTATTTGTAAAAGTCATCCATGTCGTAGCCTATATATTATTTATTGTCTGAAAAGAGAGACGATATTGGTTGAGAGTTTCCACGAAAAGCGTTGTGATCTATATACGGTTTCCACGAAAATAACACTCAGTAAAAGGTGAATCGGTGATGGCATAAGAATAAAGTAGAACAGCGTTCATATAAGACGAACGAATAAGAAAATATTAAGTAAATTATGGGGTACATGCAATAATACATTCAATAATAAAATACATATATCCTTTATAAAAGGATAAACTGCCATTCGCCTATTGAGTCTGATGATGATAGGAGTGTCCAATCGAAATCGACCACTTCCAATTTTTTATATGTATTTACTTTCTTGTGAGTCAAAAGTATATGTGTAAATATGTATTTCAAGTGTTATTAGACGAAGATTGATTTACTTTCCGTATAAAGATACTTCAGTGTTAGATTTTGGTGCCTTTACTTTTGATTTCCTACTTAAAAGGATTGAAAAAAATTATTTGATACGATTAGTAGTAAACATTCAAGTGTTATAGTTATATTCGACTGCTATATTCGACTTCTGATGATATTGTTATACTTGTGTTGTTTCCCTGTAGATACAGTCTCTTTCTCGAGAACTTATTCTATTTCCATATCCCAAAACGTTATTTTACATCCTCTATTGAAAAATATGCAAACCCCGAGTCAATGGTAAGTGCAAATACCAATAAAATATTCGAAGAATTATTTTGAAAGACCTTATGTTATTAACTGCTTTTAAGGCGCCATAAGTCTATCA